TACACACTTGCCTGAATGTATCCCATAGGCCTCCAGCACAAAGTTGTCTTGTTCATTTTATTTCTACAAAAAAAAAAAACTATCGCACAACCAAGAATATACCACCTGTGGGTTATGAATAATTAAGGAGATGAAAATTGAAGTTATGCATTCTTTTTTGCCCAGCTACCCTTCTTATAGTGATTAGAAATACACAGCCATGTAGCTGCTAGAAAGATTAAAGCTTTCATTCCAAGAAAGCATGAAGAAAGGAGACGGTGAGTGGTTATATGTTGCATATATACACAAATGTGCACAGACACATATGTACCATACATATAGTAGTGTTGCACTCTATAATCTGAAGCTTCTGTCACTAGATGTACAATGTGTTTTACTATCCAAATGATTTTGCAAGCATACTTTACAAAAAAAAGTCTGCAGATTTAAATAATTTATAATATTTCTAGATATTTAACAAATAAGATAAGATTATGTCTGGCACTTTTTCAAATCATCACTTGCAAATCATTCAAAACCGTTAGAAGGTCTATAACAGAAATTATGACAAAGTTAAATGCAGCAGTATTATGTCTTGTTTAACAGTAAATTTAGAAGGATGTTTCATCAATCCAATAGATATCTTTATAGTACATCTGAACCTATATCTATATGCCATGTGTTATCTAAAAATAATGCCCAAAGGAAAAAAAATTAACAAAGACAGAGGTAGAATATGTACAAAAGCAGAGAGAATATAACATGGAGCAGAAGGAACTACTGAGAGTAATAGCTAAAATAAATATACAAAGAGATCAGCAAATCAAATATAGTGTAATGCAACAAAAATAACTCTCAAGCATCAGAAGGTGAAAAAAGGCAAGATAATGTAATAACAAAGGGATGAGAAACAAATAACATGTGAAAAAATGTTGCACAGATTCTTTTATAAAAAAAATGTGATAGCATGCAATCTCTGTGAAGATCATAATGCATTAAAAAGTATACTTCAAAGCTTCAAAATAAGGGTGGACAAAACATGCCAAAACAACCTTCCCTTAGTATGAAGGAACTATAAAGAAATGCTTTGTGGTTGAATATCAATTTGCAGAATGGAGTGGTAGGTACAATGAGCAGCTATTCAGCTATTATTTGTGACTGGACTTTGTCTTCAATAACATCTTCAAGGTGACCCTCCCTAAAAACCCTGTCCATCAGAAAGAGCAATTGCCAGCTTATTTTTTCTTGGGGTTAGAGTTTCAAGGAATATGAACATTAAGTGGCCTCTGCGACCAATTGGAAACAGATCTAACATTTGACTTAAGCATCCTCCTTGGTACAAGGAAGCCATAAAGGAGTTGCATTAGTTTCTCCAAGCCTTCATATATCATGGACTTTTTTCTCATATTGTTTTGCATGTTAAGTATTTGTAGTTTTTAAAACAAGTTGTTCATATGCATAATAAAGAGGCGGCTTTGCCAAAAATGTGAAATAGATGCTGTTTTTTTTTTTTTTTTAGCAGAACTGTTTTAAAGAATGAGAACAAACAGACTTTAAAAGGTTAATGAACTGCATATAGAGCTTATTTTTCTGAAGGCTCACTACATTCTGCACACATGTCAGCTTGCCTTTTGGTATTTTGAAATCCAAACAGATCTAGTTATAGAAATAGCAGAAGATATTTGAGTAAATTCCAAACTGTTTAAATATTCATGAGTTTAAAATATACTCACAACCTGTACCTTAAAAACAAAAAAGTCTCATGAACATAGGCATGTTTTGATTTCAACTAAAGTGGAAGAATAATTAGATAGCTGTGCAGGGCTAGATTAAAAAAAAATACAACAAATAAGAAAAGACAAGAAAGTTTGAATGACAATTAGTGGGAATAGTTCTAAAGAATTTCTCTTCAAAACACTTCATTCTGTTCCACACACAATGTGTTCTTGCACGCCAATAAACATTTGGAACAACTTATTAAAATACCATTATAGAAAATTTTGTTATAGACAAAATCATTGATCACCAATAAATAAGTGAAGTAAAATGCAATTTTAAAAAATTCATGTTACAAACAGTAGCAAAAATAACGGATAAGAAAATGGATGAATGAAACAAAATCTCAGCATCCTTCCCCATCATGAGAAGGTTAGAAATATTATCTATATGAAAGAGAGTTTGAGCAAATTTCTGAGGCTCTAAAATTGTCTTCTATCAGGCTCACTTTCAAGATTTTCAGCTATGAAAGGTGAAATCCTATTTCGATATTGGAAATGAAAGATCTGTGTCTCTGTTTCATGTTCATTTAAGGAATAATGACAATTTGTTGACCAAGAGGGCCTTTGATCAGCTCTATTTGATGCACCAGTTGCACCCTTTGCTAGATTGGGAGGCTCTTCAGACAGTCACTCCTGCCCTAGTCATCTCAAGTATTGACTACGGCAGAGTATTCTACATGAGGCTACCTTTGAAAATCACCAGCTGGTCCAAAAAACAGCAGCATGGCTAGTGATGGGCATGCCTCAGTATACAGCCTCTGTCAATGAACTGCACAGTGTCTGGTGCAATTCATAGAACTGTTTATTACCTACTGTATATTGGGCCAGATTACTTGAGGAATCACCTATCACTCATGGTTTTGGTCCAGTTGGCATGTGTTTGTATATTGTGCTCAGAGTCTCCCTTGTTTTGGGTTGGTACTGGCTTTTGTGTTTTTATGAAGTTCCCAGTTGAGTCAGACAGTGTCAAAAAGGCAAGGCAAGGCAAGGCAAAGGTTAAGGAAAGGTTAAGGGGAGGAGATGGGAGGGGAAAGGGAAAGAAAGGAGGGAGAAAGGGAGGCAGGCAGGCAATCTCGGACTACTTTAATGATGGCAGGCAAAAACCATGGAAAATTGTTTTTGGAAAAAGCTGTCCAATGAAGGTTCAATAGATGAACCATAATGTGCATGCAATGATTAAAAGCAGAGAAACTTCTATTATTATATTCTTAAGAAGGCCCAATCCTAAAATCTATAGAAATGTATTGCCCACCATCAGAGGCTTGGTGAATGCATATTATCTATCTATCTATCTATCTATCTATCTATCTATCTATCTATCTATCTATCTATCTATCTATCTATCTATC